TGAACTGTGCAACGTAACTACCGACATTGCTAATATGTGCTCGCGTCTACAACGATCGGGGTGTGCCGCAATGCAGGCGCGAACAAGATTTCCTCCGCCCGACGAGACGCCGCTGCCTTCATGTTGCTGGCGGGGATGATGTACCTGGGAATGGATGATGACAGCCCCCTCCTGGATGCTCTTCGTCTCGCTGACTACAACCAAGCAGCAGACTTCCAGGATGGAACCGCCCGGACGGGACGATCCGTCCCACACGCCGATCGCTGGTGGGAGAGAAGCGGGCGGCATCTCAGCAGCGCCCAGTTTAGGACAGCCTTTAGGTGCAGGTGTGTGGACATCGATTTTGTATTTTGTCCGTAACCCTATGTAAACGGCCCTGTATAATGTCAGAGTAAAATTTGCCATTCACACATGTCGGCACTCTGTCCCCCGTCCTCTGGAACAAATGAACACCCCAAATCACATGATGCTAAGCGACGATGGATTGTCGGGGTCCTAGTTTGTTGTTTCTGTTTCCTCACTCCCATATATCCTGGGAGCGTGCCTCGAGCTGTAAAGTTGCGGGCAAGCCGTGCCTAATTCGGGCAAAGCAAAAGGGGAAAAAAATACTTGCCCCCCCCCCCATGGATGCCCCCCCCCCCCCGGCGGTTTGCCATCGGGGTTGGGTTTTCATCGCTTGGCAGCATTCTACTTGTAGAAAACACAAGCCGCCCCCCCGGCGTATGCCATCGGAGTTGGGGTTTCGTCGCTTGTCAGCGATGTTGTACAACAAGCCGATCACTTGGTGAGCTCGGCAACTAAGGGTACCGTTTTTTTTTGCTTTTTTTATTTTTTTGCGGTTACCATGAATGGTGGTCGATACATTATGTTGTGCGGGGTGGAGAACCCTCACTCCGCACAAGGGGGATAAACGCACCTCGTAGTGTAAAATGGGTCAAGCACCCTACTTGATAGGCAGTTACACAGTGCTTACAACTGTCTCTGGAAATGAAAGCACGCCAGAAGATATCAAGTCATACGCAGCTGTCATGAGTAGGCAAGGAAGTAAGCACAAGATGCCGAACACCCTCACCAGGAAGCAGCGCACCCTTGATGCGACTCGCCGAATACCTCACGGCGCTTCGCGCTTCGCAATATTATTTTTTGTTCCGATGAGAACCCGGCGTGCTCCGCCCCTGCTTTGTAGGGATGAGAGGACAATGGTTTAACGACTACGGCATGCACGACAATGAGTACACCCTCCCCCACTCGGATGCCATAGCGCTTAGACCCGACTACTAGGGTGAGATCCTCGCGGCATTCGAATCCCGGCAATTTTTGCGGTCGCAATACACCTTGTTCGTAGGGCGAGGAGTTGATTTGTTGTTGACTTCATGAATTGCGTCTGGCTCGTTGGTATCAAGTTAAGCTGCGGCGACAACTCAAATTCATGAGAGCTTCCTGAATAACACACATGGAACACACATGGATGCAGATTCTCGAATTCCTTGACATGACCCGAAGTCAGAGGGCTACAATAGCATCCTCAATCTACCCCCCAACCCCACGCCTGCGTTGCATCTACAGGAAAACGACCTTCGCCGATCTTGTGAAGAAGCTCTACGGCACCACTGGCATGTGCAGGAAGGGTCGTAGAGGACCGCCGTTCGACCCGTGCGAGCGTGTAGCCGTATTCCTGTGGAGGCTGGGTGGAGACTCCACGGTCAGGCAGACGGCGCTTCAGTTTGGCCTGTCCGAGGGGACGGTATCTCAGGTGACCCTGGAGGTGGCAAGAAGGGTCGACAAGTATCTTCGCGATGGATGCGTCTGGTGGCCTAGCCCGGGAGAGCAGCGGGAGATGTCTGCAGGATGGGAACTCGAGAAGCATCTCAGGTGGGTTTGTATTCGTATTTTTCTCGATTTGATCGCGCCTATTGTCGAGACTTTGACAGTTCCAAGTCCCAAGGTAGAACAAGTGTGATTTCAGCATTGGTAGACGGGGACGGACGTGTCTATCGCCGACTCCAGTATGCACGAACGACCACTCCTTACGGACGGACACTTTGGGCTCGTGGAGTTCGCTCAAGCTCTATCCTAAGTGTACAACATTGCCAACATGTGGGTACTCCCGTCCTGAGCTCTGCGACCTGCACCATCCGAAGACACCCATGAACTTCCAAAAAATCATGCCGACTACCTAGTGCGCTCACGCTACAATTTTCTACCTACCCGCGTAGTATCGATCACCTGTGCGATAGCTGGATATCGGTGGTGAGTACGCCCGGAATGCCTGCGTCTCACTCATTGGAGAATAATCCCCATCTCTCAATGTACCCACGAGCCATGTAATTGGGAAACATATCCGCGGGCTAGCTTGTCTAAGACACAACGAGGACCATGCCGAATACCACGTCTATACTCCGCTGTAGGCCTTGATCGAATGCAACAGATGAACAGGTGGTTTAGATCGATGGACACCCTCATTTATCTCACCCTAACCCTAAGCTCGTACATCCCACACCTCGTCCCACAATCCTGCGCTTTTTTTCCAAACGTAGGGGTGTGATCGGAGCCATCGACGGGAGTCACATCAAGATCCTGGCGCCACCAGACTCGCTCCAAACCTCGTACTACAACTACAAGCATTTCTACTCCATTTCGCTGCTCGCAATCGTGGACAACGAGGGTATGTTCCGCTGGTTTTGCTCCGGAGCACCGGGCGCGTGCGCCGACAGCGGGGTCTTGACGGACACCGCGTTCTACGAGATGGTACAGGAGGACCAGGCCCAGCCAGTCAACAGCAGACGGATGTTTGCCAACGGCGCGTGCATCCTGGGGGACTCCGCATTCGCTGAATCTCCATGGATGCGCACGCCAATCGGGATACCCGGCAACAGGGCGGAACGGTTTTTCAACTAAAAGCATTCGAGCATGCGCTTCCGCGTAGAGCATGCTTTCGGACGCCTGAAGAAGAAGTTCCGTGCTCTTCTCGATGGTTTGGACTGCCACCTCGACCACTGCCCGACGATCGTTAACGCGTGTGTCATCCTTCACAACTTCATCTTCATGCGCGAAGGCGAATCACCTGCCGATCACGGAGTCGACAATGCCCCCACGAGGAACGGCACTGGACGCGCACTCTCGCAAGGTGCTGGCCCTGTTGATTCTGAGAGGGCCAGGGAGGTCGACTACCTCCGCCGCAATTTCCTGCGGAGGGAGTGGGGAGCTCCAGGCTCGCGAATGGACCAACAACGCTTACAAGACGAGAGGCTTGCCAGGAGGATCAACGGCACAGCGCGTTGATACACTGAGACTCGTGGGGATATAATCTGTAATGTCTAGCCGTGTGTTTTTGCCTTTTGTTTCCCCTGGCTAGAGTCTGGTGACGGGGACTAACCCTAAGGCCGCCTGCGTGTCAATTTTTTTGTATGGCATATTTTTGGTCTAGGCATATGTGTTTACGTGATGTCGGGCATTTAGAGGACAGGACGTATAGCGATATGGAGTAGAATGGGCAAGCTACGGGCTAGTCGTGCACTAGGGTAGTGTTTCCACTTTACCTTAGCATGAAACGTTGAGAGTCGGTTGAATGTTTGCACAATTAGGGTGTGCATCAAGTAGGCTTGTAACGTTGTAACGGAGACCCAATAATATCGGAATACAAATGACAGCCTTTTGACTCCAGTGGCCGAGGGGGCGTCAATTACTCGATGCATACGGTGGGGCTTATGTCATGACGTTTTGCACCCCTGCAGCACTAGCCTACTATGTGAAGTGTCGACACAACGGGACAGGAGAACGTGTGGATGTATTATGTTGCAGGAGGGGCACCCCGAAGGCCGCACAGTAATAAGTGTCATGATAAGGTGAACGGCGAGGAAAGCGAAGAAAATATTTTATTTTAGTAGAATCGCAACATTGAGTCGAACTCAACGGACTCAGCTCCAGGATGTCTCGTGTCCTGGACGCAAACCGAAACTTCGAAACCCGAGCCCTAAAGCGTGGGCACGCATCGCAGTCCGCACCTGAAGAAATATAACGACTATTATAGTAACCGTCACAAATAATTATCCACGAACCAAACATCCTACAAGTACGCCAACGCCGGGCATGGTCACAGGTGAAACACCCTCCGAAAACCCAGCCCTCGTTTACTAAAGGCAAAAGAAGAGTACAAAGCAGTGCACGCGAAAAAAAAAAAAAGTGAAGTATATAGACTAACCCGCGCACGTCTTGCCGCTCACGGAGGAAACCTTAGTTCAACAGGCCTGCGCTTAAACCTACGCCCCCCCCCCCCCCCCTCCACCC